GGGTGCCCCCCACCCCCCCCCCCCCCCCTCACAGATCTGTGTTGTCAGTTCTGAACTGATCCATGCAGCTAAGAGGAGAAACACATGGTCTCTCAAATCCATACAGAAGTGGTCAATCAGAGTTTTCAAAAGATTATTTTTAGCATCAACCTAAATGAATAGACGGACTACCAAGTTCCACCAGATACCAAGAAACAGTACAGTGCAAACCACGCTAAACTAACTATAAATAAAACTACACTTTAGGTAAAATTGCATGTTCAGTCTGAGCGATGTGACAAATCCTACTGCCCAAAGAAGTCCTGCCCCTTCTCTGCTGATCCTCATCTGATTGCACAATAAACATATTCATCACACTAACCTGTCAAAAAACTATTTTTCCTCCTCACTTTTCTTCTGGATTATTTTTGGGCTGGTTTAGGAGATCAAATCAGTTCAGCTGATCAGCTTAGTGTGAGGAATGTCCAGAACAAGGAACTAAATAATGCAAAGATAGTAAATTTTTCTATAGGTTTTTAGTCAAGCACTACGCAATGTGCTGGCAGTGTGTTGTTTCACCAAAAAACTAATTTATCTTTTTCTAGTTTTCACCTGATAAATTAGTTTTGTCACTTCCTCAGAATATTAATTTATATTTGTATGTATAAGTCAGGAAGATTACTACAGATAATTTCCCTTTTTTCTTATAACAATTTCCACATTCCAACATAAGATGACACTGATGGTGGTACTGGAATGCACAAGTATCTATCTGAACACAGCAATTTCTGAGATATAGAGCTGACATCTTTTCTAAAATATCAGATGCCACAGCTTTCAAAAGAGTAGCTGCTAAAGGAACTAATACAATTGGCCACATACCCACTGATCTTTTCAACATAACTGACAAAGCTAAATAATTACAAACTTTTACTTCTTGAAAAAGCTGACAAGTGAACAATAGTTCACAATGGTGAACTATTTAAGATCATGATTAAAATCACAGGGAAAAAAGCATCCAGAAGCCAATTTGAAAGGAAGCCTACATTCTTATTTTCTCATGATGTGATATGTTGTAGGTTATCAAGGAAGCCTTATGGAAAGCATCAATTAAAAAAAACCCCCAAACTATTAGAAAGAAGACAATCTACTAGACAGCAAAGTCATCGGATTTATATACCCTGTTCAAATTAGTGGTTTTGTGTTTTTTGTTTGTTTTAAAACACAGACATAGGTAAATTAGCAAGGATCAGTCTCCAGCATGACACAGGTTAACACTGAAATTATAGTTCCGTGTTACATATTAATTACTTGGAAAAAAAGGAAAAAAAAAATTTCTGTAGCAGAGCAATCTGTGGATAACAGCTATTTATGTAATTAGTATCAAGGGATCATAATCAACCTCCAAGAAAATTAGACAAACAGTGTGACTGGACAAAAACAATGCTTCACACAAATTGTGCATCAACTGTATTATGCAACACTGCATGCATTGTTGATGTACACACACATGCATACAAACACCCTGGAAGAATTCTAAACTATTGAGTCAAAAAGGAGACCTAATCACCTGTGTCCTGGTTTCGGCAGGGATAGAGTTAATTTCCTTTCTAGTAGCTGGTACAGTGTTTTGGATTTAGGATGAGAACAAAGTTGATAACGCACCCATGTTTTAGTTGTTGCTAGGTAATGCTTACACTAGCCAAGGACTTTTCAGCTTCCCCTGCTCTACCGACTGAGAAGGCTGGAGGTGCACAAGAAGCCGGGAGGGGGCACAGCCAAACTGGCCAAAGGGACATTCCATACCATGTGACGTCATGCTCAGTACATAAACTGGGGAAAGCTGGCCGGGGGGGCCGCTGCTCGGGGACTGGCTGGGCATCAGTCGGCGGGTGGTGAGCAATTGTACTGTGCATCACTTGCTTTGTGTATTATTATTATTATCATTTTATTTCAATTATTAAACTGTTTTTATCTCAACCCACGAGTTTTTCTAACTTGTGCTCTTCCAATTCTCTCCCCCATCCCACCGGGTGGGGGGGAGTGAGCGAGCGGCTGCGTGGTGCTTAGTTGCCGACTGAAATTAAACCACGACAACCTGTAAAGACACCTATAGTCTACTGTTTAAAGAGCATAGCTGTAACTAGTAGGGTGTGGGAGGCATTAAGATGCACAGGAAAATGAACAATAAATAATATACATAAGGCACTAAAAACAAAGATATCAATGCTATAGCCTCACTGGAATACTGTAATTCCAATACTAGACTATGAACTTGTTAGCAAGTCTACCTGTCCTATGAAACCTTCATATAGGTGGAAAAATAATAAAAATAGTCATGTTATACTTCTCTAAATCCACATAATTTAAGTATGGAAAACTCTGATAAGAGAGTTTGCAAGGACTCTGATTGTTTAATTGATAAAAAGAAAATAAAATGAATGAAGAAAGAGGGCCACCAAGACAGTCAGTGGCCTGGGACCACTTGCCCTGTGAGAAAAAGCTGAAGCACTGGGGCTTGTTCAGCCTGCAGAAGAGACTGTTTCAGGGAGACTCAACAGCAGCTTTCTAGTACCTACAGGGAGGTTAAGGAGAAGGTTGAACCAGGCTCTTCACAGTGGTGCATAGTGGGAGGACAAGAAACAACGGGTGTAAGTTGAAACCAGAGAGGTTAAGGATATAAGGAAAAAAGTTTTCACTGTAAGAACAGTCAAGCGGTGGACCTGACTGTGCAGGCTGTGCAGCCTTCTTGGAGGTTTTCAAGACCCAGCTGGATAAAGCCCTGGGCAACCTGGTCTGACCTTAGAGCTGACCCTCCTTTGAGCAGGAGGTTGCATTAGAAACCTCCTGAAGTTCCTTCTAACCTGAATTATCCTGTGATCCTAAGGTAACAAGGAAATATTTATTCACATCCTATAAGGGATATTACATAGAAATAATGATAAAAATAAAATTTCAAAGCAAAGAAAACATCATTACCTATTATACCAGTGAACTGGGGAAATGAGAAACAGACAATAAGATAATGAAATTGAGCTAAAAATTGAGTGTTCCTATAAGTATCATGGTTCTTCAGCTGTCCTACTTAATAACAATTTTATGCAAAGACATTGAAATTTCATAATTCAGCCTTCTAATAAAAGACCAAGAGCTGACTGACTGAAAGAAAGATCCAGGTAACAGGAAAAAAAAGTGAATTACTTTACACCTGTCTATCCTACTTGTCTGAAGTGCTTCGTGTCAGATGTGCTGATCTGTATGCCTGTAGCAACTGAAACAGAGCACTAAAAACGTAATAATTTCAGGTTTCGGTGAAAGATGTTATGTTTTGTCTGGATAAACTCACAGCCATAAGTAACTGTAGAGGGAATGTTAATCAGCTTTCTGAAGAAAGAAAACTGCTGAAATACCCCATTGCAAAGCTCCCAACAGCTGTTGTTCAAAAGTCAAGTATATATAATCACACTCATGGAAAAAACATCAAAATGAAGATGTGGAAGAAGTGTTTTTAATTAAAATATTTATTTTCATTCTTCTCCTATTTTTGAATCACAAAATGAAAACTCTGAACTCTCAGGTTTTCACTG